ACTTTTAGGAGTGTTTTCTGGTCAAATCTGATGGGGTGCCAAGCCCTAGCCCCAAAGTCTATTTTTGGTATTTCCTCAGGACTTTCTTGCTCTGCTCTCCTTGCTGTTCTGTTGCACTTCCTTAGTGTTTTGCCTCGGTGTAGTGTGGTCAGATCAGGTGCAATTCCCACACTGTGTCTCCAGTGTTGTCCCCTGTAGGGCTATTGGTCAGTGAGGAATGTCGTGTCTCATAGTGGAGCCGGTCGTGTGGTCTTCTCTGTGCACTGGCTGCTATGAGCGGGAATATCGTCCTCAAGGCTTGGTGGGCCAGGATGTGTTCCACTCTCTCTTCCTCCCCTTTCATTTGCTCCCGTGTGCTCTGATCAGACGTGTCCCTCTCCCTGAGCTGTAGCTTCAGTGCTGTCCTCTGAAGTTAATTCTCCTGGCTATAAAACTATTTATGGGAGTAGAAAGTCTCCTCTTTCTCCTGCAGCTGGCTGGTGGTTTCAAACTGCTGATTTTGTGGTTAACAGCCCAATATGTAACCACTATGCTAACAAGGCCCCAGAGCGATACTGCAGGAACTGAGAACTGTTATCTTGGGATGTTATCTTGGGAGCGAGGCGCTCGCTCCCTTGGGAGCTTTGAAATCCAGCCCTGTACAGACATCCTCTGCCCAAAAACAGTTGGGCTGAGAAGATTAGGGAGGAGATGAGCCAATCTTTGTGAAATAAACCCCTCTCTCCGAGGGAAAAACCAAGGGCAGCGGGCTCCTTGAGGGGGATGGATCTCAAAATCACTCAGGGAAACGGCAGCTTCAGAGGCCGACGATGAAGCCTGTAGAAGAGATGGGGTCTTTGCTCTGATCGTGCAGGGGCACGGTGCAAATCTACTTCCCCCAGATCTTGGAGACTAGTTTTTCTTGATAAAAGTATGATATTAGCCTAAGCACCCCAGAAGACCTGTGCTGCAGACCCAGCTCTGCTGCTTGCTGCTGCCTGAGCAGTGCGTGTAACGACCTTCGGCTTCCCTCCTCAGCTCCCCAGTGGGAAAAGCAGCACGTCTCTGGAGTTCTGCGCCCACTGCAGTGAGACAGTGAGTGTGAAGGAGCCCTCTACGCGGCGGCGGATCACGTTATGACTATTCCCATCTTTCATCTGCCTCTGACAGGTGCCATCCGGATCCCAACCGTGTCTTTCAGCTCGGAGGAATCCAATGTGACAGCCCTGGCTGAGTTTGGGGAATACATTCACAAAGGTAACGGCGGCCCCAAGGCCAACTGGAGACAAAGGTAGCAGAGGTAGCCCTGGGCAAGGTGATGGAGAAGATTATTTACGACTGACCCCAAAGACCACCTCATTTCCATTAGACAGGCCTCTTCTGAGTTTTGTACATATGGAAGGGTGTCCGACACAGAAGGGAGAACTTGAGTGTTAGAGTGGAGCGAGTCAAGACTAGAGATTTTCC